CTCTGAGCAGAGAAAGATTTCAGTGAGTGGGGAAGCACTTTAGAGGGTTGTCCTGTTATATGAAGACCTTCGTAAAAGAAAAATCAGGATAATAAATCCATAATTAATCAATTAGGCCCCAGTCCAGCAAACCAGTGTGTCCTTGCAGAGGCCTTCTGAAGGCAAGGAGCACTGAGAGGGTTCTGGTGCCCCCATGTTGGCACTTTGCAGGGTGAGACACATCAGTCAGTGTTGTTTTACAGGCAAGAAGCTGAGTCTACAGTTTCAGATTAAACAGGGGGAGCTGGAGTTCTTGAAACTTTGCAAGAGCTCTTAATAAGAGAAGATTTTTTTTCAGGAATCTTTGTCAAAGGAAAAATAAATAGTTTTTTACCAATTACCTTAAATAGAAAACGATTAAAGTGAGAAAGCAGGTGAGAAATTAGGATTAGCTACTTCCAGAATTGGCTTAAATTGCCACCTCCCTTCTAGAATATTCGCAATAGAGCAATGAATATTATATGCTGCACAAGGCTAAAAACACTTCACTGCAAAGACATTTGCAGAGGAAAGCTTTCAGTATTTAAAAAGAATCAAGCCCAAGCTGAGGTAAAGCACAGTTTGCATTGCAATTCAGCCAACACAAGGCATGTAAAAATTCAATTTTGGGAGGTATTCTGAAAATTAATTTGCACAGAATGTCAGCAGGCAGGATATTGGGCAAGGGCACTCAGGAAGGGTTGTTTGGGTAGATCAAAGTCCTTATTGCCTTACAGCTAGAAAATTTAAGTGTCTTTCTGTCCAGGTGGTGACAGCCCTGAGGTTTCCAGGCCGTGACAAGTATCATCTGAGATGTACTGAACAGCAACCCCTCCAGGACTGCAGCAGTACAGGCTCTGGCAGCTGTCAGCACTTACAGCAGGGAAATCCAGAGGTTCCAAGAAGTGTCCAGCAGGCTCTGGGCTCACACTTCACAGATCCTGAGGTGTGGGTGCTTGGGCAAAAAATCCCACAGGTCCAGGGCAGCTCTTTCCAAGCTCCATTGGAAGCAGTTGTAAGGATGGCTGCAAAGTTCCATAAACTGGCAGAGTTGGGAACTGGCAAACCAAGTGGGAAGAAGGTAATTATTTTCCTTCCCTGGGAATGCTTTCACATGAAGCAACAAAGAAACTATTGACACTGCTAAACAGTGAAGAATTTCATAATGTGTCCCATTATGAGAGAAAGGTTAGTGCATTGTAATTCAGAATGAATCTGGCAAAGTCCCCATTGCTATTTATGGGAGAAGTAAATACTGTGAGGGCTGAGATGTGACTTTCCTTCACAGACACCTCTACCACACCTCTTGGTGTCATCTTTGAACAAATTGTAACACTTAAGCTCCCATCAGTTTGTCATCTGGAAGGGCAGGCATTTGGAATTTTGCAGTTAAATACGAACCCTTAAGCCTTGTGGCTTAAATTTGTGGAGTTGGAGATGGGGTTTTAACTGGACTGCTGGGGCACAAAGGACCCAGAAAGCTCCACGGTCTCAGCTAAAGCAGATCCTATTATTGCAGGACTCCAGGTTTGCAACTAATCCCATGATCAGCTGGAACAACCCCGAGGCTGTGACACAAGGGCTCTCTGTCTGCCCAGGGCTCTGCTGTGAAGCCCCAAATTGCTCCTCTCCCTGGAACTCGAGCCAAGGTTGGAGAGTCCCAGACTCCACAGCTGCAGGCCCAGGGCACAGAACCAGGAAACTGTGGAATAGGAACCCAGGAAGGTGTTTCTAATGAGATCAGTGACAGTAAAGCTGCCCCAGGGATTCAGCAGCAGTATACCTCAGATATAATGTAGGAACTCATTACTCATTTATCGTTAATCAAGACACACTTGCCTGCAAATGGAAGCTTCTAATATTTGTAGATTTACTATGATAGAAGGAAAGCAAGTACTAACCTATTCTGGCCACTTTAGGGCTGGCTGTGTTTGGGGTAAGATGGGAGCAGCCTGTAAGAGTTAACATTTAAACCAGGAACAAATAATTGCAGAGTCATGAAGCACAGTGTCCACAGTGGTGTGTGAAGGCAGCTGCATCTCAACACAGAACACACTCTAAGGATGAAATAATCAGTCAAGGATCTTTACAGACAAAACTATTCAGAGTTCTTGGAGCCCAAATTCTCTTGTCAAGCAGCACCAGTCACTAAATATGTCTGTAAAACAGACTATAGGTCTGTAAATATCAGTGATGTTTTAAATGTATTTTAGTTACTGGTCCTACTTTACTGGTTTCTTGAATAGCATACTTAAAACCAAAAATCAACTTAAACCAACAAACAAAAAGCCATCTTAACCCCAAACCTTGATCATATTGGTAAAATACATAACTAAAAGCATTACCTTTGACAGAGCAGAGCTGCTGCTCAGATAAGAATAGCTGTTAAGTTTTCCTGTCGTGCAGTAGCTCCAGGAAGGTATTGACACATCTGGTTATCAAAGCCAATTCTCCCTGAAAAACAAAAAATCCAGATGAAGAAGAGTGCTCCTCACTTGTTTCATTACAATGTAATTCTGTTTTGAGGAGAAACAGAATTACATCTCATGCCATCATCTTTCCACTCCTCCTTGAACAGAGGCTGATGTGCCACCCAGGGGAATGGTTGCAGGGGAGCCAATTGACTGGTGCTCGGGGAACCCACTGGAAAACTTACTTTTGTCTGTGGAGAACTGGCATTTTGGCAGCAATTCCTCATTGTGCATAAGCCAGAAGTGGTATTTGGTTGACAGCACCTGGGAAGCAACGAGACACGAACTCTTGTCCTTTTGCACAGCTGGGTGGAGTCCTGTTATTTTTTGGGACTGGGAACTAGGGGAGCCAAGTAAAATGCTGAGTGACAAAGGGGTTGCTTTTTACTCTGTGCTGATTTGGCAACATCATTCTTCTTACTGTATTTCCCACCTTATTTCTCCCCACACTTTTGCTCTGCAGGTCCGTGATAGAGCATTTTCCACTTCAGCACTAAAGAAAACAGTCCCTTTCAGTTTTGTGAAGCATATACTCCACAGGAAATATATTTCTGGGCAATTTGTTGTACGTCTGCTGAATCCGGGGCACAGGCTCAGTGACTGAACACATTTCTCACAGTAACACGAGCAAGTCTCTCTCTAACAAATGCTGCCCCTGCTGAGTTGCAGGACACATTACAGCCCACCTGCCAGGCTGGGGTTCTGCAAAGGGGTTGTAAAATTCTGAGGGCAGGAGCTACAGCTCAGACCTCAGCTCTTCAGGGACACTTAGTGATGGCACAAGGACACCACCAGAAAGTCATTTTCTTTTTTTCTTAAGCACAAATATCAGCAGTGCAGGTAGGCTTCAACTGCCAAGTGAGAACTTATTATAGTGGGTCCAAAACTATGAGTAGTCAGAGCAACCATGATAGTGAAAAACTTTAAGCATAAAAAAAAAATCAAATAATGAATAAGAATGCAGAAAAGATTGCAGTCAGATTGGCTAATTCACATGCAAAAATTTGGTCTGGTTTCTGAAATTTTAAGTGATTCTGAACCCTTCTGTGGCTGCTAAAGTGCTCTTCCTCACACAAATTGCTCAATCAAACTATTAAGGAGACTTTTAAAGATGTAAGTAGTACAGTACACACACACAGGTACACACTCTTCTATACAAATGCTTTATTAAAAATGTTTCTGGGGTGGCCTGTAACAAAACTATACTCTTGTAGTGTTAAAAAAAAAATCAAGGTAAAATGGTATCTATTACAATGTATTAATGTTTTCTATCACTCCAAAAGTCTGGTCAGTGCCCAGATGTGAACAGTTAAACTCAATGTCCATGTATGCTGCAGGTTATCCAGTTACAGATATTACTCTACACAAATGTGGAATTTCAGTCAAGTCTTGGTTTAGAAAAACTTCATATATATTTTAAAAATTTTTTATGGCTACAGTAGAGTGTAGGAAAAATAAGCATTATTTCTAATATTTACACGAGAACAAATAGTACAGACTTTTACAAAATGACAAAAAAATACAGTACAGAAACTTTTTACAATATCTGCAATTGATACTTGGAAAGATCCAGCCTTTGGAATTGAAACCCAGAGGCAGTTAAACTTCTTACCTCCTTTTTCTTCTGCCCTCCCCCCCATCCCAGTATTCCATTTCTTTACTCAGTAGAGATGATTAATGTGAAATATTGAGATAGAGTAAATGTGATTTCCTCTTAGAAAACACATGTATTAAATATATATATATGTAGAGAGAGAGAGATACTCAGGACAAATCCTGTTTCCCTTATGTGAATAGATTTGCATGTGTAAGGAAAAAAAATTGACCCTGTAATTAGAATTGAAAGCACTAAGATCTGCACCAGCAGAAGACAATTCCACTGTATTTTGTTAGGTTTCCCTTCAGCTTCAATATTCCTGTTGTGTCCATGCTGATGTTGCTTTCCTTCACAGCCACATCCCCCCTGGGGCTGGAAGGGGGTCAGACTTTTGGTAGTGCCTGCACTAGTGTGAGAGACAACCAAAGACAGCCCTCACCATTCAAGTGCTGGTTGTTACTCACTAGACAGCAGTTTTTATTCTGGATCCTTCACAGCTTTGACCAAGAGCTTGCTAAGCATGTCTAGTGCAGGCAGCCTGTACTGGCAACAGAGGATATTCAAAGACACAACCACATTTCTGTGAGCACTTTAAAAAGCACAGCAGTGTCAGTGCCGTGCCAGAAAGAGCTTCCTGCCCAAGGCAAACAGGAACTTCTCAAGGACATCAGTAGAGGACCCTGGTTGGCAGCAGCACAATCAGTGTCTGAGGAGAACTTTTCACTGTTCTCACTGTTATGATCCCTGATTTTTCACGTGGAGCTGCCAAATGTGGAGTGTTTGTGATTTCAGTGAGTGCAACAAGCTTGTGGCTGTCAGAAGGAAGGGTGCAGAGGGTCCTAGAGACAACAGGCTAATGCTAATCACCTGCCCACGGGTCACCTCCTCTCATAAATAACTATCCTTTAGCATCTTAGAATCCTTCATTTAAACCTCTGTCCCTTCCCTGGAGTACAGTGTGTTGTTGGTGCTGATACTGCTGTAAAAATGGGTGTTAAACTGGTTGAGCACGGAGTTGCCGTGGCCAAGGTGAGGGGAAGGCATGGAATTGGACCACTCTCCCACCCCGTGGCTGGGGATACCGGAGAGGGGGGAGTAGGAATTAAAGCCTGCCATGTTCTGCCCCATTTTGTCAATGGGGTCAGAGCTGAGTCCCAGGGGCCCCGAGCGGCCCCCCGAGCTGGCGCTGCTCACGTAGGCCGTCATGCTGGAGAGGAAGTTACCGAGGCACGGGCTGCTGGACGAGGGAGGGGGAGACTCCTTCTCGGGGGAGTTGTCAGCCCCAGGGGGTGAGTTTTCCAAGATGTCCTGGTGCTCTGCAGCTTTGGGGCTGCCAGTCAGGGTGCTGTCCTCTGATTTCTCAGCTCCGAGCGTGGCAGCACTCGCCTCGATGTCAGACTTCCTCTTCCTCTTCCTGCGAAAGTTCCCGTTGTCAAACATCTTTTCACAGTTTGGGTCCAGAGTCCAGTAGTTCCCTTTTCCTGTCAAAGAGAATGAAAGTGCATTTTTAGTATAAAAGTATGCACACAAACAGAAAACAGCAATCACCTAGGGCTTTACAGTGTTTCTCCCCTTTCATAGAATCTGAACAATTGCATGAACAAAACATATTTCTTAGTCATTGAAAACCAGAAGCCCGTTGAATTCTGAAAAAAAAAATAAAATAAAGTCTTGGGCTGTATTCTTTAGCCCACATGTAAGACTACAAGTGGAGCCACTAGGAGGGCTTTAATGTTTTGTTTTCTTGGTGAGGGAAGGATGTTTTCAGTATGCAGTTGGTCTTCTGAATTTATGGCAGAGAGTAATCAAATCCCATACTGGGCTGTTCCTCCAGATTCAGTGGGGGAGGATATCTTTCTAAAAACATAAACCCAGATTTTTGTCCCTCTGTTGCAGCATAATTGAGTGTGTTTTAAATGCTCCCAATAGTTCTTAACAGCTACTGACAAAAAACAATAAATAATGGAATATCTGACGGCATATCAGCCAAGGGGTCGGACATGGCAGAGGTGTGATTCCAAGGAAAGCACTATTTGCAACAAACAAAATGAAAGCAGCCTGCTCTCCTCTGGAAAATCAATATTGACTCCCTAAAGCTATTGGATTTCTTTGACAAATCTGAATTTGCCTTATCCCCTTTCCATTAAATCCCGGTTAAGTTTGGCTGAAGTCATGCATTACACCAAACGGGTCCTGAATGTGCCTTGCCCAGTTGGAATGCTCCATTGATCTGGGCTCAGGAAGACCCAGAGCAGGACAGAATTCCCTTCCCCTCAGGGATTTCACAGCAACACTAATTCACACCTGAATTACACTCAGCTGCCTTCTAGCTCAGACCTCTGCAAATCGAAGTGCTACTCTGTGTTTGTCCTCAATCCAGGCTGTTATTAAGTGCTTCCTTACACTCTTAAGGGTGGGTCATCACAGTCTCTTTACAACTGGGCATTTTTAAATCGATCAAGTTTAATTAGAGGGGAGAGAGAAGAGGGGAGAGAGCTGTACCTGGATCATCTTCGTCTCGAGGCACCTTCTTGAAGCAGTCGTTGAGGGACAGGTTGTGCCGGATGGAGTTCTGCCAGCCAGCCTTGCTCTTGTTGTAGAAGGGGAAGTTGTCAGCCACGTACTGGTAGATCTGGCTCAGAGTCAGCCTCTTGTCAGGAGCCCCGTGGATTGCCATGGCGATGAGGGCAGAGTAGGAGTAGGGTGGTCTGACCAACTTCATGAGCTCCTCTTGGGACGGCAGAGGCAGCCAGCCGAGGTCAGTGCCCCCCAGGCCGTGCACGTTGGGCAGGAGCTGCCTCTGCACGCCGTAGGACTGCGGAATGAAGGGGCTGGCGTTGGATCCCGGCAGGTAGGGCGGGGGGGTCATGGAGGGGCCGTTCAGCCACAGGTAGGGGTTGGGAGTGGCGCCGTAATCCGTCGTCTCGAAGGTGCTCGGCCTCTGGGGACTGGGGACGTTCTGCGGATGGAAGAAGTTCTCGTAGTAGATGTTCATCTCGGGAGGCTCCTGGCCGATATTTGGGAACTGTGGGCTGCAGCGTGGTGGGGAGTGGGGCTGTGGGTCGAAGAAGCTCATGCTCCAGCCCGGCGGGAGGTTGTGACACACCTGTGCTAGTGCTCTTTCCCGGACAGGTGCATCACCTGCGCCCTGCCCTAGCTACTTATGCACCTGTAAATGTTTCAGCCAGCGCTGCAGGCTCCACCCCACAGCCCTGAGTGGCTGCAGATGAGGACGATATCCTTTTTGGAATGCTGGCAGTCCCGGGCAGTCACTGATGTCACATCAACCAAATGGGAAAGTTACAACTGGTTATCTTCTCACCTGAATGAAGGAATTTTCCACTAATGTCATACACATAAAGAAAGCCCAAGGTGCCTTGAAGTTAAAACTCATCAGAGATCCTCCTCTTCCTACCTTTCACAGCGAAGCTTTAGCATTTAGTATTTTTTTTTAAATTAAAAAAAGCCATTTTGTGCTGCTGTTAGTAACAGCTCAGAATGCAAAAGCCATTGTCACTAGTCAATGAAACAGTAGGGATACATATGCTTTAAAAAAAAAGAGAAAAGAAAAGAGAAAAGAAAAGAAAAAAGAAAAGGTCAGACCTTTTCCTTTTGTAACTTTAATTGCAGAGTTGCTTGTACTTCCCCCTAGGCAATCACAGTACTACAGGCAAACTCTGTAGCTGGTTACTCACGTGAGTAATCTTACTGATAGAAAGGGAATTAACTCCCTAAAGTAAGGATTAATCTTCTGAGAAAAAAAAAAATTCGGCTTAATCATCAAACCTTTCTTTAAAGCTTAAATTGGTGAACTGAGATGGGAAATCATTATGTGCTGCTTCCTCTCTGCTGCAGGATTGGTGCAGAGAGCTCATAAAACCTCTTAGCACAATTTCCAAACAGGAAAGGGGTGGCAGTGTTTGGCTCCTCTCAGCTAAGTTCCAGTAACTTCATTTGTAGCTATACAATGAAAGTTGATTTCTTAAAATTAGGTGAGCAGGAAAAAAATTCTGTCCCCTTTTTTGACTTGGAAAAGTACTTAGTGCCTCATGTGGCACCTTGAGTGTTGGAAGGAGGAAAAGGCAGAGCTGCAATGTCACCACCCCCTGTCTCAGGGGACAGCTCTTCACTGCACGGAGTTAAACCTATTTGCAGTGATATTTGCACAGTTTTTCTGTGATTAAGGCACATCCATACATTTGGAACTTGACTCACCCTTAACACCATACCATTACAGGAAGTCCTGGTGTGACAGGGCCTTTCAGGTGGCTCTTTTCCTGTAATTTCTGCAGAAACACAAGTTTTGACCCATAGGTTTGAATTCCTGGCTGCACCAAAGATGTTCTTCCTTTGTTCACACACTCATCTGACTCTCTTGTGCTGCAGCAGCACCACCAAGTTCCCCCTTCCCTAAACAGTAATGATTCAGCAGTCATGCCCATATTGTTGTTGCTTCAAAAGGTATGAAAAAAATTCCACTGGAAATACTACTGAAATATTGAGTACAGTGACAAAACTGGCCAATTTGCCAGCTCACAAATGCAGCTCTACAGTTGTTGTTTTAAAAATACATGCCTTCCCTGCACAGAAAATCATTTGTGCTACAACAAACAAGTTGCTACTTTAATTTGAATGACTGAGAGCTCAGAGTTGGTGCAGAGACACACATTAAGCAGACAACAGTTAAGTGGAACATACCGGGACTGGCTTATTTTCTAAGTGACAACTGCTGTGCTAAAGGTGACTTAAAAAAAAACAAAAAAAAAGAAGAAAAGATTCATTTATCAGGAACTAATAATTTGAGTACCTCCTTCCTCAAGGAACCTCTCTGAAATAATTTTTTTCTCTGTGGGAATCCGAGTTACAATCATGCAAAAAGCTGTTAGAACAACATTGCCTACAGCTTCCTAATTAACTTCCTAACATATGGCTGTATTTTAGAATTATATGTGTAGTCCTGCAAATTTTGTTGCAAATATTATTACAATTATTGCTAATAATCCCCCTCCATTTACAGAAGAGTCCACAGAAAAAAGGTTTAAGAAGTGCTCACACGAGTATAAACACTTTTACAATGAACTAAGACCCAGAATATAGTGAGAAAAGTAAACATAATGAATTTTTCACTGCTCAGCAAATTACATTTTTGCCAAAGAAACCCTTGAAAACAAGAAAAACTTGTAAATTTATTCCAAGAAGTAAAAATTCAGCTGACTGCATCATGGATTTGGATGAGTGACATCTAAATACTTATTCCCTGAGGTGCTCTGCGTGCACAGTCACAGTTAAAATGCACTGAAGTAGGTGCTGAGTGAACACAGGCTTTGAAAACATCCCAGGCTGCCCCTTATGAAGGGGAAAAGCATTACTTCTGCAGCCAGAGACTGATGAAGGCTGTAAAATATCCCCTGCAAATTAACCTTTAGGAAGTTTTGGTGCAGTGCACCCGAGCAAGGTGAGCTGAGCACGCCGAGGATGCACAGCACTGCCAGCCCTCCCTGGGGGGACCCCTGAGCAGTGCCACACACAGCTAAGCAAAGCAAGGGCTCAGGTGAAGAATGGCAAGTGCTGCTTTTACAGCAAGGAAGTGCAAAGACACCTGTGGGCTTCTGCCTCCGAGCTGGGAAAGGGGGTGCAAAGGTCTGATCCCTCCCTGGCACAGCTTCCAGCAGAGACACGATCCAACAACCCTTGCCTTCCAACTGGCTGGGCCTGATTTCCTCAGGGCAGAGCATAAACAGTGCCAGTAAAAAAGCACTTTGTGAGTGCTCTGGGCACACCTTGGTGCTGCAGGGTGGCTGCAGAACATGCCCCTGGGCAGCACTTGGGGGGCAGATGCTCCTCTGGAGGCTGGAAAGCAGCAAGGAGGGAATAAACCCTGCTCAAGCTGTGATGGGCTGGTCAGAACTGGGGTTAACTGAGCATTGCCATGGGGTCCTCACCACAGAGACTCCTCTCCTTGGCAGGGCTGGAAGAAGGCAGCAATCCCAGAAGTGGAGAAAGGAAAAATGGTGAGGCTTCCACAGAAAGAGGCTGGGAAAAGGCAACGTGCTGACCAAGCTGAGCTAACAGATCACTTTTAGGGCTGAAAAACTCCGTAAATAAAATCATGCTGGAGACATACTTTACTTATGGTTACTTCCAAATGCACTGGGTCCAGTGGGGTCTGGTCTGACTGGGTAGGATGCATCATGTTTTTAGCATTTCTCTTTGCTCCAGCTCACTCCTGCACAGCCCTGGGTTCATGTCTCCCCCAGCTGCAAGTCTGATCAGCCAGAGACTGTTGGCAAACCAAAGACTGTCGACAACTCTTGAGTTATTCAAATATTTGTTCCTCTCAGTTTCTTAAGTGAAGCTCCAAAACCTGCAAGGTCGAGGATGAGCCCCTGCAGAACCAGTGCTTTCACAGGTTTTTTAGGTCAGCTCCTATATACCCCTCTACTACAGCCAAAAGTAATATTTCTTCACAGTGACTGCCTTTTTAGAAGGGAAAAGGTAATTATCTGAAATTTTTGGTTATGAAAGGTTCAAATTTATTTAATTTCAACTAGGATTCCTCAACATTTTCACTTATACACCAAAAAACCTTTACATGCAGTGTTTCTGAAATGCAGTGAGAGGTGTGTACCCCCCAGCACAGTGGGAAGCAACACCAAACAGGGTCAGAAAACAGAGAATAATACGAGGAACATTCTGTAGTGTTTTGGCTGAGATACACCAAACTACTTTCTTAATTGGATTTCCCAAAATGAAAAAGCAAAATAAAGCATGATCCCTGCTAGTCCTACAAGGACCTTTAGGCCATCATGCTGTTTCACAGTATTTTAGAGAACTCAGACCAATAAAGCAGCATGTCCTGCAGGATGCAAAGTACAGCAGAGCACAAACCCACTCTGATGGCTTAAGCAAGTTCAAGATTTTTTTGGTTGAAGATTTATCCTGGCAAATCTTGTAACTCACCACACATCACTTGTCCCTCACAGAGGCAACATCAAGCACCCTGCATCCTGTACTTCAGCTGGTTAATCAGAAATTAAATTGAGTGTTTACACTTGATTCAGATCATGAAACTTATTGCCAGATAATCCCGTGGTGCAGAGTTCTCTTCCTACTGAAGATGAAGTTTAAGTTGTAGTCACAACATTTTGTATAGCCCCAATCCTGGTGTATTAGCACAGTTTAACACCTTGCTGAAGAAAAGTTCATACAAACTATTCATGTGGTCACAAAGAAGAGGGAAAAAGTGTTGTTTTTAAAAGAGTTCACATACAAGTCAGTATAGCAAGCAACCCACCTTGTGTCAAACAATTTCCACTCTGAATTCAGAAACAGCTCCCTGTCCATCAACAGGACATTTTCACATAATCTATGTCCTCAGTTTTTAAGCAGATTAGTTGTAGAAGTCTTCTTGTCTTATTCCAATAATCATCTGCAAATTAAACCACACCATCAGAAGAAACAAGGTGTAGCAGGCAAAGCAATGTCATCTCAAGGACGTTACAAAAAGCATAAGAAATGTAAAATACAGTATTACAAAACAAGGGAGCAGAGATTTATTTCTAGAAATGTAGGTTGAACATTAAATTAATGGAAAAGGCAATATCATTTGGAGCTGTGCCATAAATGCTGCAATGCCAAAATGCCCTTAGACTTTTCAAGTCCTCCAGAACAAAATCACTGTGGATTTTTAAAACAACTTAATAACTGAGTTTTTAGAAGACTGTAAAACCTTGTAAGGGTTCATGGCTGCTTTCTGACCATGAGAACTATGACAATAAAAATAGTCATAACTCCTGCCTCAACTGAGGCTTTCCACCATCTTACCAGCACATAGTAAATGTGGGAGAGGGGATCAGGTGTCCCCTGAGTTATGTATTAGTCATGACAGTCCCAGGCAGGCAAGGAATCTCCAGCTCCTCTTTGGCTTCCTGTGGCTCCCACGGGATCTGCTGCACTTGGGGACACAGACATGCTCAGCCCTGGAAGAGAGGGACAGCTCAGGCCGAATGAGACAGTCTGTAACAAATCCTTCTCATGGCAGAAGCCAAGGTGTCCCTCTCAATTATAGGAAATTAA